CTCCATTCGTAATCAATAAAAAAACAGTAGTCAGGTGGCAGGACAGACTATGCGGAAGTTCAACGTAGGTCTGGAACCTTCAGTTTACAGTCAAGAAAGGAAGCCAAAGAGATCAGTTAAGTTCACATTAGTTCTTAAAAGGGATATTGAATTACTGGTTCTTTCACCTAGACATTAATTTCTGGAGCCTTTCTCGCATGGCTGAAAGATTACTTAGGCGAGAGGGAATTCTGTACCAAAGTCAACCGCATCCGATCATCCTGGCACACCTCGGCATCAGGGGTTCCTCAGGGTTCTATCTTAGGGCCGTTGAAGTTTTCGATATTTATCAACGACCTGCCCTGTCAACTGAACTGCTCTGCGCTTCTTTACGCTGACGACGTAAAGATTTGCAGAGCAGTAAACTCATTAGAAGACTCCGACAGATTGCAGGCTAACCTGCAAACTCTGGGAGACTGGGCTCTGGCTAACGGAATGTCTTTCAACCTAAAGAAGTGCAGAGTAGTGCAACTTCATTCCGGCAGTTCACAGAGTGTAAATTACAGCCTTGGTGGCTAGAACTTGAGTTGTGTGCCATCAGAACGCGATCTAGGCCTTATTTTAACAGAAAAGCTAGATACCAGTGTAAATTACACGAGGGACGTCTCCAAAGCTTGCGCTACTTTACACTTTATGCATAGGCAGCTGGGAGCTCTTACTCCCGAACTATTCTTAAGGTTGTATACGACATACGTGAGGCCACTCTTTGAGATGCATAATATCATTGCCCCTCCGCTACTCAAAAGGGATGCTAACATTCTAGAAAGTGTCCAGAGACAAGCGGCAAAATGGGTGATCGGCCTCCGCAACAAATCATATGAGGAAAGACTGAAGAAATTAAGTCTTTTCACACTTAGTTACCGTAGTCACAAGGGAGACCTCATCACCGTCTATAAGATCTTAAGTGACCAGACCCACCCTAATAAGCGCATCCTGCCATTAAGTGATTATAGGCTTCCACGAGGTAACCCGCTAAGGATAGCACACCAGAGACCAAAGACTTGAGTGCGTTCACATTTCTTCTCGCTTCAAGTTTGCCGTCTCTGGAACGCTTTACCGGCGGCCGTGACTACAGCGCCATCTGTGGAGACTTTTAAGCGGAAGCTGGACAATCATTCAGAAATGCAAGGTTGTGTCTCAATGGCTTATCCTCTTAAAATTTGAAACCACACTGTCAGTGGATAAGCATACAAGCTAAATCCCCACGACCCGTTCTGTCTTCTCTCACTGTACTGACTACTCCATCTTTTCTTTGGTCACCTTTATTATTTCACTTATCTCAACCTATATTATCTACACTACAACCTATTATTATTACTATTCTACTTTTATGACTACACCGAATGACCAACGGGTGTTAGGTCAAACTTTATTCACCGCAGCAACTCAGTCCTAACATACTGCACACTACAAACCACATCTTGACCAATCCTCGCACCACTCCTCTTGGAGTCTACCAGAGCTAAAGCAGTCGAGTGGCGGGATTTACTACACATAAGTTCACCGAAGATCTGGAACCCCTACCTTACAATCAAGAAGCGAGCTCAAAGAAATCACTGGTTTATACTAGCTCGTAATCAGGATATTGGATATTGCAACCCACTTTCAGAAGAAGTTATGTTTCCACTGTTATTGCTTTGTTCAAGAATAGGCTGACCAAGCGAAGATACTTGTTGGAGAAGGAGGCAAATCCTTCCACTTACAACCCATTCTAGGATCAGAATATTTTATTGAATGTCTTGAATCCGGAGTCGATTTTGAACTTCAAGGTTATGGTGACCTTAGGATGATATCCGAGTCTTATGTTTCTAACATAAAGTTGGAATACCAAAAGCTGAGAACTAGGGTTGAAAAACTAGAGAAAGAAAACGGAATACTTGCTGCAGAGCTTGGTAATCGGGAATCAAATTTCTGTGGTAACATTTTAACGTTTGTTGAAAGTTTGTGTTTGAATACGAAATACAGGTGAGTGCATTATTACAACAATGTTAAACTCTTAAGTGATGTATTGTTTAAGACGCCAGATGTACTTGTACCGGGACATAAATTTGTATTAGATGCCAGGGGCGGAGTTTGGAATGCCTACACAGAAAATGGTGTTGAATATATCGATATAAGAGGTACTACCGGTTTGATTTACATCGTTTTGTTAGCGTACCGTCAGAATGTTTGTGAAGCGTTGATTTCATGGGCCTATAAAGGCGTTTTGGAAAAGTGTGAGGCTCATTGTTTGTCTAGTCTTATGTTACTTGCAAGAGAATATTGTTTACCCTGCTTATTGTCACAGTAAGTGCCACTGTTTTTAAAAATAAAGTTTTAGGTGTGAAATCGCCTTAATTCCTCTAGTTACCAGGGAAAATTGCTTGTCCTTGTATTCGTCTTCATATAGTGTGAGAGCCACTCGGCTTATGGATCACTGTTTTATGTTTATATCTGGTATTTGGGTATGCCTATTTTTGTGCTATTATTTCCTATATTTGACAGCATGATTTTTCAGCAGAAGAAATTTCTACGATACCTGCACCCGTGCTGCAATCTTTCCTCGAAAAATATTCCAAATTTCCTGTACATTCAGCTATAGAACTTGGAAGGAACGATACTGTTATGTCTCTGCTTGAAGTTAATCCTGCTAAGGTATTTTTTCCTTATTAAAACTAGTCACTTGTTTAGTTTATGTTGTAATTTTTGCTAAATCATGGATCTTTCCCACACACTGTCGTAATAAGTGTATTTTTCACCTTATCATTGGGCGAAAAACTATGCACGTGTTTCCAACATTTTCAACGTAGCACTCCTATGTAAAATTGTTTTTCTAGTGGAGTAACTTGACCTGTAAAGTTTACTGTAGCAGAGTTTTAATCCCTTGCTTATGGAATCTCCATTTTAATTTCATAGTGTTCTACTACTTTGTTTACTTATCGTCATACTTTAGTTCAATAATGTCGTTGGTATCCTTTTTCAGGTTTAAACCACTCAGATATTTTTATATTTTGTGGGATATTACGCTGGGTTCGAAAGTTTTTGGTCCATACATTGATATTGTAAGACTGGTTATCAATTTTTGGATATTTTCCTATGGCGTCTGTTTGCTCAATTGCTGTTTATGTAACATGAATTAATATTAATTTTCTAGGCAAAGTTACTGGCAAATCAGTTGAATGACGATGGGTTATCTCCACTTTTCATGGCCCTGAAGGCTTCACATTTTGAACTTGCTGAAAAACTTATTGATCTGGGCGCTGATCCAAACGCTCTTATTGGTCCTATGAACCAACGACAACCTATTACTCAGTTTGCATTCGTTAACAAACAGTATGACGCTGTACAGTTTTTGTTACGCCATGGTTCATACGTAAGTTTATTTTAAGATTTAGAATGTCACCACTTAGTATGAGCTTTTAAGATTTTTCGAAAGGTGGTTGTATACGAATTCCTAATTTGTGAGTGGTAAATGTTACTTGTTAACCCCTGACTCTAATTCACGTAAAAACTTACCATTATTTGTTCAGGATGTTGGCCTTAATTTTATGCAACCATTCAGCTTTACGATTGATAAACCATAGAAATAATGCTACCTGTCTGCCTTGCCGACTTCCGTTGCTGATATATATCCCCTATTTAAAAGTTCTGCCTATTTTTATGGAAAACATTGGTCTAACACGAACAGTTATCTTTGAACTTTGCAGGTATTTTTCACAAGTCACTCAAGGGAAGGCAACTCATTATGCTAGCAGCTTGGAAGTAGTGACCACTCACCCGCTTCTGACAGCATTTGCGTCTCTTCTAACGCTAACAAGTCTCCCTCGTTATATTCTAGATTTTCGTGATAAATTGCAGTAATGATTTTAAGGTATTGCTTGTCTTTGTCAACTTTGCTACCTGGGATAAAGATTCTGGTTCTTACTGTGACGTACATCGTGTCTTTGGCATATTTAATATCTCGATTGTAAAAAGTAACCTGTGGAACCATATTGTCTTGTAATTTCTGCTTTTTATGCATTTAGCTCCAAGAAAAAAGCTGCCAAACTAGTGTCACAATAATCTCAAAGTTTCGCGCCCTCAACAGTTTTCAAATTTGTAGAATTATTGCTTCTTGTTAGAAATGACCGTAATTGCACTTGCTCTCTGACTTCTATGTAATTAGAAAACTTTATTCTTTTCTCATTTGCAATCAAGTGTGACTTCAGTGATCCAACATCCCATCGTACACTGCTTCATAACCTAGCAGTACTTGGTGCCAGTGAGTTGACTGACTCTGTTATTGATATTGCAAAAACATTACTTCTACAAGGCGCAAACACTTCTTGTCAGGATACAGAAGGAAAGTAAGTCTCTTATTCGTAGAATATTTCATTTCACAGAAACTTTCCATTGTTACTTCTCTAAAGATAATGAAATATCCATGCACCGTTCAAATGTCCTATTTAAACCTTTTCATTGTAAGATATTTGTATTAGAGGTATGGCTTTCAAAATTTTGAATTCGTGAGTGGAAAAACTTTATAAACACGTATTTAAATCAAACAAAAGTGCGTCGGTGGTTTAGCGTTAGAGCGCTCGCCAACCACGCACGTGGTCCGAGGTTCGATCCTCGGCCGACGCACGCCTAAGCCTTGATAAGGCGTCAGTAAGTCCGGTAAAGAGGGAAGTTTGAACGTAAGGCTAGCAACCCACCCCGTAGAAATATAACTACTACTACTGAAACTTCCAAAGCTCTAGCTTAAAGCCTTATGTTTCAGTGGGAACGTAAAGGAATAAAATTACTCTTTTGTCGAATTGAATTTTCTTTATATTTGAAAACTGAATTTTCATTACTGTTGAGGTTACTAAGTTATCCCGTAAAAAAAGAGAAACTAGAATTTTTCGAGTTCGATGTACATTTTTTGTTTTCCTCAGTCAATGAAATAGTTTCAGCACTATGATTCCGTAAATGGAAATTTCCGACTTTTATTTTTTTTTTAGTTCACCACTGCATTTATCCATTTTACACAATAACTCAGATATATTTGAACTGCTTCTTAATTATGTGAAGAAATCTGATTTCGATTTACCAAATAATCAAGGACTGTGTGTATTGTGGTTAGCACTTGTCAGACAATTTCAACCGTGTGGTTCATTGAATCCAATCGCTTATGGATTCTGTGGTATGTCACTAACATTTTTGTAATTGGTGTTTTTCAGGCGGATGGCAAATATATTCGATTAATAAGTATAGGATCATTGTTACTTAAGTCAGTTCATGTAGGTCTGTGCTGTTAGGGTTGGCCTATACATATATGACTTACAATCTAATCAACCAGCGTCATTAAATTCCATTTTTGTTTTTGTTTCCATAAAAACGCTTGAACCAGGAGATTCAAGGACCTTAATGAAATTGTTTTGGGGGAACTTGAGTTCATATATTATTCCTCTTTAATCTCCTGACTGACTGCTTCTACCTTGAGGTACAGGTCAGGCTTACATGTCACAGTGATCCAAAGAGCTACACTGGCTGGAACTAATATTCCTGCAGGCCTTGTCGTACTAGAAAGGTTATCTGGAAAATGACTAAAGTAAAAACAGTTGCTGTTATGGTAGAGGTCGTTTACACTATGTTGGGTGATCTGTGGGCGAAGTACTTCTTGTAAATCGGTGTTTTCCTCAGATGATCAGCAAGTCAGCTTTACAGCATCGGAGGAGAAGAGGTGTTGAGGTTGACTCCGAAGACTGTACATACCAGCCTACCTTGTAGCAGTCCACAGCCGGTGGTAAGATCTTAAAAAAAGTGAGACTGGTGTCAAGTAGTTGTCCCTTGGGCTCTGGTCGCCCAACACCAATGCTGCTTCTATTTTAGGTATTCCAGGAAAAAATCAACTCCCATGGTGTAGGCAACCAGGAAGTAATAACCTTCCACGGACTTTCATAAACACACAAAGCTTTTGTGATCACCACTTACCTTTTTAATTGTATACAGAAAAGCAAGCACGAAGCCACTACCGTTTCAATTTTAATCGGTTTCCTTTAGCACCTGATTTGGTGTCGTTAACAACTTTGTTTATTTATGAAATGCATTCTACATTACAATTATCACCGAACAGTGCATAAGTTGTAGTTAATATTTCTCAACTGCATCGATAAAGAAAGCAAGCAGAGAAATCGTGAGACCGAATAGCTCAATGGTAGCGTCTCTGACAGCAATATCGGTTGATCCAGGTTCGGATCACAAACTTGACAGACAGAATTCAGCCTGCATCGAACGAAGGATAAGACTCATGACAATAATTACGACGTAGTGTCCAATCAAAGAAATACATTTTCTCTAGGCATAATATACCGAAAAGATTTAAGTTTTATCGCGTCGAATGTTGAACATACACAATAGTTTATGAATTCAGATTTGATGTGCAGTCTTACGGGTTTCGTTAGATCATATATTTCATCAGTATATAAGAATATTACTATAAAACTGTATGTAATAAGTTATTATTTCCTCTTGTTTAATGGAATTAATTTCACAGTAATTTTTTGTATCTGTATGTTGGCTGGCTGGCTGGATTCAACATAGAACTTGGCACCGAAGTGCAGCAGTTCGAGTTGCCACGTTCCAAAGAGCACACAAACGTAGACAAGAAGATGAGTGAAGAGAATCAATAGAGTTTTGACAAGTATAAGAGTGAAACAGAATGAGTAGAAAGGAGTATGAAGGATTTCAGAGACTGAATACATCTGCACCATTGACAACGATTTTGAGCCATGTCACCTATTGTCTCCAGCCATTGATTCTTAGAGTCCCGAGGGCCCCAACCTGGAAGTCTGCATCTCCCTCCCTACCTGACTCAGTTTAACTATCAGGGATTCCATGGATTGATGCCACCACTTCCTCTTTTCCAACCTGCACCTATATCAGCTAGTAATGCCCGTCGGGGGAGGCGATGGCGTGCGCAGCACGTGACCTAGCCATCTCAATTTATGTAACTTTAGAGCCTCGTCGATTGATTTTCCCTCTTTGCCCAACACTCTACGCCTAACGTCAACATTACTCACCTTATTATACCACCTAAGGTGAGAAAGAGATCGTAAACATCTATGATCAAAAACAGTCAACCTTTTCATGTCTTCAACTCGTATTGGCCATGTTTCAGAGCCATAGAGAAGGATGGAGCGAACTGGTGAGCAGTACACACGTCCCTTGGTTGATAGCCGGATGTCACACCTACGCTAGAGATGGTGTAAGTTAGCGAAAGCAGCTTGAGTTTTTTGGATCCGTGCTGAGATTTCGTCACCAACCAATCCATTGGTGCTGAGACAACTTCCCAAATAGGTGAAGTGATCAACATGTTCTATCACTTCACTCCCTATCACTAAGCTAGGGGTAGATGTAGTCCAGTCCTGTAGCAGCATCTTACATTTTACAGGGGCGAATCGCATGCCAAACATACGAAGATTGCTGCTCAAGGTGTTCAGAAATCTGTATGTTGTATTGTATTAGATAAAATACATGACATCCAAAGTGGCTTGCTAGTTTCAATGTTTTAAAATCTTCCATTATCTTCTTAAATATCTTCTGCTCACCTGTTCAAATATACGTATATATATTTTTAAAAAACATTAACTATCTGTTCATTGTTTTCAGGTGATACCTTAAAAAATAATTCATATAATTTTGCTAGTCGATTAATTGAAAAAGCTGCTAATGTGAATTACAGGTTCACTGACCTGCCTATTTCCTGTTTGAATGATGAGTCAATAAAGACGCCGCTTCCAGGAGATACTTTACTCATGGCTACTGCACGAGTTGGTTGGGAATCAGCTGCTTTATTTCTCCTGAGTCAACCAGAATGTGATCCAACTTTAGAATCGCTGTTTACTCAAGGAGAAACAGTTTTTCATATTGCAGTTGAATCTGAACTTTGCAATCTCTGTAAACAGTTGGTTGTTCGAAAGGACATTAATCCTAATCAACTACGTTTCTCGAAAGTTATTAATATAGTAGAACAAAATTCTGAGGTAGGAGCGTGTTTTGTGTGACTTTTATTACGTTTTAACATAAACAGATATCTTCAACACTTCGAAACTGTTCTAATGTTGTTTCAGTTAATATGAGCTAAGTTTTAGAAAGGTGGATTCATTATATCTTCCAAATATTAGAAACTAATCGTGGGCCTATATTTTTGTGCACTCAAGAAATGATCTTTTGTACTGCTCCACAGCTGCCTCCGTAAACATTTTAATGAAAATGTAACTTTCGATACGGAAGGGTGTGTTCGACTGCTAATATAAATCTTAGAATATTAGGTATGTAATTCGCTCCTGTCAAATTTAAGGTGGTGCTGTAAGGCTAGTTGATCTATACTGGCTCCCAGACTAAAGATAAGGAGCGCGATGGTTGAGCGTTGCATGCGTCCTAGTGAACTGATTGCTGGCCAAATTATCAGAAAGGACACAGAAGTCGTGTTTGTGGGCTAGCCAACTTACATCGTCTGTGGTGTAGACGTTGATACCAAGCTATCGGTCAAAAGAAATCTGCATTATGCAGCAATTCACTCTGTTCTCCTTTATATGGCTGTGAGAAACGGCCATTGAAAGTGGGAGGTCTGGAAAGGCTAGTTATATTTGACCACTGGTGTTTGCTTTCTATCTCCAACGTCATGTCATCAATCTATTAAGTTTTCGACTGTTCGTTTGAGCCACCTAGATGGTTGTAGATTGCCTGCCTGGGATTCTAAAAACAGATTCTAAGAACCAATGGCCAGAGACTGTTAGTGATATGGCTCAAAATTGTTCTCAACGGCTCGGAAATGCATTCACTTCTTGCGACATTCCAGATGCGTTAATTTCCTATTATTCCTATTCTTTCTCACATATGTTTCCGTTGATTGTATTTTCTCTGCGTTTTGTTGTCATCTATATTTGTGTACTTTATGAATTGTGGGGAACCTGAACAGCTGTACTTTTGTGTAAATTTCTGCACTTAGACTCAGTCAATTAGTCAGTCGACTGCTAGTAAGGAAAGTGGTCATTTGTGAAGTAATGGTGTGATGAATCATTTAAATTTTTAAACCGCTTTTAATCTCTTTTCTGAGTACAAAAGCATTACTTTTGGTTTGACTAATTTAACACATTTTTTCGCCTCGCATGTGATTTCACAGTTACATCCAAATAAATCAAATATGTAAGTGTTACTGCATTTAGATGTGCATATTAGCCATAAATTGTTCCTAACAAGTACAATAATATATTTTCTTATAGTTGCTTTGTAAGGATTAGTTTTGCTTTTACGAGTTGATCATGGATTGATGTCAGTTTGAGAACCAATGAAAACCAGGGAGTACTACCAGACAGCTGTTTCATCCTAGTTTGGGAATCATCGGTAGTACGCACCCACTGGGGTTGGAACCCCCCGAGACCTTCCTGTTACAAGGCAAGCTGGTATACCATTCAGCCATTGGGATCCGATTCAATGGCCAGCCCATGAATTCTAACTTCTACCAGTTTATGATTTAGCGCGAACAAAATTAATCCTTACGAACCAACTATAGAAAATTAATCTGATGGTTGCTAGTGACTTGCTACAGGATGGAGTTTCCTGGAGTTCTAGTGAGAAGTCGTGACCAGTGAGGTCCATCCAGTCAAGTGTGAGGATGGATGTCCCACCGATGACATTGGTTGTGGTCGCGCTAAATCACGAATTGGTAGAAGTTAGAATTCATGGGCTGGCCATTGAATCGGGTCCCAGTGGCTGAATGGTATACGAGCCAGCTTGCCTTGTAACCGGAAGGTTCTGGGTTCGGACCTTGGTGGTGGGTGCGTACTACCGATGATTCCCAAACTAGGATGAAAAAGTTGTCTGGTAGTACTCCCTGGTTTTCAATGGTTCTCTAACTGATATCAATCCGTGATCAACTCGTAAAAACAATAATATGTAGTTTTTTTCGTATGGGAAAGTCCATTTATGGATTTTGTTTAGTTATGCTTTAAAATTTATAATAAGGAACTCAATCACAGTGTAATGTATAATACTGACAGTTGGTTTTCATTTTATTTCAACTGTAGAAGCTATTCAGCTGTCGTTCACAGTGTTATGAGTGTATTGACTGTTTGCAACATCTTCGAAATTTTGCACATTACTACTTTTCAGATTATTCTTTTGTTTTTGTGACTTCCCGTTATGTGCTCCATGGACTTTGGCAACTTGAGCTGCTGCAGTTCAGTGCTAAGTTCTATGTTAAAATTCAGTCAGTGATATGTCTGGACCGGGTTGACTAGCCTTCTTTTGCTATATGAGGGCTGTGTATTCTAGTGGTGAGTCACACTAATGGCATCTGAACTAAAATGGACTGAATCTTCAGTGTTGAACTTTACACAAAAATGCACCAGTTCAAATTGCCATAATTCATGAAAGCACACACTGAAGTACAGAGAAGAAGTGCAAAGGAATTCGTAATAAACGGAGATTTACCGGAGAAAGTATTATTCCATGAAGAGTAATATGTATTAAGTGAATTTAGAAGGCTACAATTAGTGAATACATCTGCATCGTTGAGAATGATTTTCAACCATGTCACCAACAGTCCTTAGAATCTACACTTCCTTACATGGTTTAAACTAACAGTCGAACATTTTGTGGATTGATCTCATGTTGTAATTTGATCACCCTTCACTGTTTTCCGGTCAGATGCAGCTTCACAAACACATCGATTGACCTTCTCTTCTTACCTAACGCTCTACTGTATTATTAATTATTATTGTATTTTATTCCTCTGGGTTCCGAGTGGAACTTAGGGTTTCAAGCCTTCTGATCTTTAAAGTTTCGGAAGCAATGGTTTTCTTTTTACGGGATGGGGTTGCTATTCTCACACCGCATGTTCCCTCTTTACCAGGCTTATTACCAGCTAAGCGAGGATTAGAAATGCGTCGACCGAGGATCGAACCCCGGACCATGTGCATGGTTGGCGACCATCGACACTAAACTCTACACGTCACCTCAATATTACTGACTATATTATTTACCACTTGACATGGAAGGTCTGTCTGTCTGTTTTCGACATAGAACTTTGCATCGATGTGCAGCAGTTCAAGTCTCCACACTCCATGTAGCACACGAAGCAAGAGGATAAAGCAAAAAGAAATGCAAAATAGAGACAGTAAACAGAGATATGAGACAAAAGGAATAGTAATAACGAAGAACAACATAGTTTCATTGGGTATTATAAGTCACAAGGAGTGGATGCATCTGCGCTAGCCATTGAGAACGATTTTGAGCCATATCACCGATTGTCTCCAGCCATTGGTTTTTACCGTCGTGAGGACCCCAACCAGACAAAAGTCTACACCTTCCTACGTGACCGGCTTAAACTAACTGTTGTGGATTTCATTGATTGTTGCCATGTTTTGGTTTGACCGCTGCTAGCAAGTTAAATGTAGAATACCAAAATAAGATTCGTGCTTAGCGTTATCAAATTTATTTTATTTTCAATCTCTTACAGATTTTAAATGAGACCACTTGTTTACAGCAAATAGATGAACGAAAAGTTTCTAAATCATTAAATCCCTTTGATGATGACTACGATGATTACAGTGCTGACGGTAATTCGTCACATGTACCACCGAGTGACTCTTATCAAATTTCTGTTACGACATCACCATCATCATCAAATGGTATGAATGACAATGCTAAGTCTACTGAACAACAACAACATCAGTTATACTGTAGCCCTTTACACTTGGCAGTGGAACATAAAATGTTTGAATTGATTGAATATTACCTTCAAGAAAAAGGTTTGTTGAATAATTGAGTATAAAGATGACCAAATTTTGTATTTATTGTTGTTTATTTGTAATAAGCGTTCTCTTTTGTGTCACGTTAATTATTGGATGGAGCTAACATCAGTTAGAAAACCACTGGAAAGCCTGCAGGGAGTACTGGACAGCTGTTTCGTCCTAGTTTCGGACTCTTCAGCAGTACGCGCCCATCGGGGTTCGAACCCAGGACCTTCTGGTTACAAGGCGAGCCAGCTCGTAGACCATTCAGCCACTGGGACCCGACCCGATGCAATGGCCAGTGCATGAATTCTAACTTCTGCCAATTCACGACATAACGCGACCATTTCGCAATGTCTTCAACTTGCTGTACCCTACTGGTCACGGCTTCCCACTAGAACCCCAGGTCACTGCCTGAATATTAATTATGTTTTTCAGTTACTACTTTTTTATCACTATAAATTTATGAGAATGTTTGGGTAGATTACTTTATCATAATGTTAATTATAACATGTTAGGATCAGAAAAGGTCGACGCCAAAAATTGTACATCCCAACTTACCTTGTGTGAGTCTGTAGCCGTGGGTAAGATCTTAGTACAGATACAATTGCAAAGGCTACTTCAAGCAGTTATCCCTTGGGCTGACTCCATGGTCACTCAACATTAATACTCTTGTTTCAGGTAATTTAGGAAGAAATTAACATCTACTGGGTGTGGGCAGTCAGGAAGTAATAGCTGTCCACAGACTTTCATAAGCTTTCAAAGCTCTCATGTTTCCCTAGGTTGATATGGTACTAGTCACATTTACTGTATTCACATAATTCTGTTTATTCTTTTTATTGTTTTAAATATATTACTTAAATTCTTTGTTACTTGATTATTTTTTGTACTGAGCACAAAACAAACAGACGCATTCACCCTTAGCGTATATATATATATATATGTTAATGAATTATCTCTAGACTTTGTCTCACCATATCTTGATTGTTTCTGTTGTTATTGAGTTTAATTTAAAAAAAGCAAACTTTAGACTCATTTCCGATGCACCATGATAATTTTACACATTTACACACACACACTTTAAACTCAACATATTACTGACTCTGGGTTTATGGTAATTAAATTAAATTCAATGTAGGTTTCGTCCCAAATCGGCATCAGCTAGCTGATAATTGAGTGTTGGGGAGTGCTGGATAGCGGTTACGACCTCGTTTCGGACTCTTTGTAATTGCGTATAGATGGTGACACCATTCAGTCATTGGACTGGAATCCAGTAGTCCATGAATTTGTAGGTCCCACCTGTGATCCAGTCATAAGGTTTGTACTGATGAGGAGTCCCACACCAGACTAAAACGGGTGTAGAGTGCTACTTCGTTTTAAATAATTCCCTATCTGATGTATAATTCCCTATCTGATGTTAGTTCGCGGCCGTTACAGTGCTGAATTATTTTAGTTGATATCTTGAACTGGCTATCGTGTTACGTTTTATTCATTGGCTTGTAAGTATAGAGCCTGAATTTTTATTTCATTCTTTGCGTTCTCAGTGGAACAGAGGACTTCAAACTATTGAAGTTTCAATAGCGGTGATGTTCTGTATACGGAATAGGTTCCTCCTCTTCCTGACTTAACATCAGCTAGTAAACCAGACAAAGTCGAGGAGTGAGTCGGTCGGGAATCGAACCCTAGACCACATATATGGTTGACGAACATCCTGCTGTTGGACGACCATCACACGTAGTGTCTGGAAAATATTTATTAAGACAGTTTTGAATATATATATATATATATATTTATGCATGCAATTGACAATGAACCACACCTGGTTTGTGAAACTACCTTCCTCCCCCAGACTGTCGGCAGGTGGAGTGAGATCCAAACGCTGTGACCCTCTGCTTGAAAGTTGATTGTCTAATCCAACGAATCATATTCGCCTTTATAAAGTTAATCAAATTTCAGTGTGCACAATGCGTAAGTGATATTGATTGATGTGTTCCTATAACTTGGTACTTATTATTATTATTATTCCCTTGGGTTCCGAGTATGGAATATAGGGCTTCACCAGCACATCTCCACTTTACTCTGTTCTCAACAGTCTTCACTTTAGTTGGTCCCACGATTGCCCATAATCTTTCATCTCCTTACATGATCCCCTTCATGTTGTCCTCGGATACCCAACTCGCCGTTTCCTATTTGGGTATCACCTAGGTGATGATGACCTGGCGCGCGGTGACACTCATCGGTCTTCTCAGCACATGTCCAATCTATCTCCATTTCCTTCGTCATGTTTGTTAGGCGATCACTTCTTGGTTGGTTCGTCTGTGTAGTTAGTTCACTGTCGCTTACCTTTTTTAACCATCCAATCTTCAATGTCGAGCGAAAATAGCTGTCGACGAAAGTCTGCAATAGCCTCCTGGGAATGCTTGTCGTGACTCAAGAGTCAAAGCACTGATCGACCTGACATTTGTGTTGGGATTCCGGATCGTCTTCTTTTTGGTGAGTACAGTATATTTCCACAATGGTTTCATAGTAATAAATGTCTGTTTCGTCTTTCCAACCCTGACTTTGACATCCTCACCCCCGTGTTTTATACCTCTAGTTGAAATGATACTCACCCCCGCCCCCAAAGAGGTGATCGAAGTGACCTCGTTCAAATTTCTTCCGTTGATAGTGATTGGTGCTTGTTGTTGTTGGTGGTTGGTACTATTTTTTTTTACTTAATTTCAGTGATTTGTCACTGATGCTGGTTTTTATTGATTCTATCTGCTGATCTTTCCTGGTCGTCTCATATCTTGGTGATTTCTAGGAAAATATTCCGTCTTACCTTCTACATCAAGAAGTTAGAACATTCTGGTATAACCCAACCCTTACTCCTACAATTCGTTAACTCTCGCATTCTGCCTATTATTCTCTATGGTTCCCCCTTAGTTTTCCCGGGCTACTGAAGAAAGACTAAAACATATTACGCAGGATGTTAAAGGTTGTCAGCAGGGTAAGCAACGTGCCACTTAACCAGCTTGTTAATATTCTGGTCGACAGGCACATGGACTCATGTGAAAAATGGGCCGAATCCATTTTATCTAACTCACACCACCCTCTTCACTCACAACTCTCCCCTTGCATCTCATAAGGCAGGATCAGAAGCCTATATAGAAAACTATATGCTCGTACCAGCAAGTACAAAAACTCAACCATACCCTACTTAGCTCGTGTTCTGTGCGATAAAGAAAGCATTAGGCATGAAACTTATAACTTATTAAATAGTCAGTAGAACAACTGGATCTCGTCTTTCCAACTCACATCATTTATAGGTACAACGTTTTCTTTCTTTCTTTTCCTTTTCTCTTTATTTTTGCTATGTGCTGCTTTGTTTCTTTCTTCCTTACAAACTCTATTTAAAACATTCTTCTTCGTTCTTTCATTCTCTGTATATCTCGACCTTTTTGTTACCGCTTACGCCAGTAAATATGCTAGCACCTACTTTTCTAACACCTTCAAACACTGTTCAACTTTGGCTTTGCTGCCGACATGCCAATATGTTGTTGTCATAATGAACTGAGATTACCTTAATCTATGTAAAATTTTATTTATTGATAATGTACTAACTGGATGCAATACTATAGTAAAAATGCTGAGAATTCCATTCTGTATTCACAAGTACTGTTTTAGAATAAAGCAAATTATTATTATTATTATTATTATTATTATTATTATTATTATTAAAGGCAACGTCGACTGGTTATTGCTAAATGAATCAGGAGAATCAGTTTTCAGTTTACTCTTATGGTCAGAACAATTTCACTTGGTTCATTCGGTTTTGCAACTTATGCACGATCAATCAACAACAACAAATGTCTCAATTAATTCAAATATTGGATTTAATAAATCAAATGAATCTATTAATTGGTTTCGTAATCTTATATTCTCAAATCAAAGGAAGCATTCTCTACTGATTGAAGCTGTTGAACGTGGTCAATTAGAAGTGGTGAGGTTTCTAATCAAATATGGCGCTGATATTGATGAAAAGTAAACACAACATTATTATTATTTTCAATTATTAATCTTTTGTGTTCACTTGTCCAATTTTATCACGTTTCTAGTAAATGTTCTGGATATATTCAGCGGATAATACACTGGCTAAAATCACACCGTATACGTATATAAGGCTGTTAAACTCCCAGACTATTATTATTGTTGTTTAGCTTTATACTGTAGGATGAACCTCAGTGTATTTGAAATTTCGGCCAAGTTAGACTTTAAGCACCAAGCACTGACTACCAATGGAGTGCGACCGCACCAATGACCTTGAAACGACGCTCACTGAGCAAGTTAGTGAAATCCCGCAAATAATGTTATCATCATCAATAAAATATGTTCATCGAAGTGTTATGTTATCTACTAAATGGGATATCTGGCAAGTTTCAGCTTAGGTTTTTTGGGAAAGATTAAGTTACTCTTTAAGCCAAGGACAAGTTAGGGTTAGGTTACCCTAATAAAGACGACATTAGGGTTGGTTCGAGTTAGATTACAGTTAATCTAGGGATATTTTCACGTTAGGGTTCAGGTTCAGGAAAGATTAGGCTTATTGTTCGGGTTAGAAGACCTAAATAATTACATGCATAGAATGTGATTAAATCACTCTGTTGATGTAAGAATAGAACTTGTGCACTGTGGTATAGTTTAATTCCATTGTGGGTAAAATTTATTCTGATAAAGTCTCACAGTGTTATGTAGTAGTAATATTTACTGATGACGTTTCGAGCACAATATATTGCTCAGTAAATATTGCTGTATAACACTATGCAACTTTATCGGAATAAATAAATAAATACTCTGTTGATACTCCAACCTAAAACCGAGAGCTGTTTTTATCACATATGAGATCAAGGTATCCTGTAACACTTTTCTACATTTTTAGGCAATTTTTTGTCATCTAACTGATGTCAGCTCATGATGAAATCCTCCATGCAATTAAACAAAATCCCTATTAAACCAATACTTGATAAATATATGCATCCCATACACAAAAATGCCTCCTTCATGTGATTGGTGCGTTCAAGGTCATTCGCTGATTGGCAGTTAGCGGTGCTTAAAGTTTAACTTTGCCGAAATTTCTACTGAACAGTAAAGGGTTGGTTGTAAGTGTGCATTCTAGATGGGGTGGAGGGGGATAAATAGAAAGTGAAAGTATAGGAAATGCTCAACAATGGGTTTGGTTTAGTAAGATTTGTGATGTTTTCATGTCAAATCAGTGTTTCTATATACTTCAAGGATTTGGCGCGCGTCGTCACTGAAGGCATTTCTATAAGGCTGCAAGCTTCCATCAGTAGATACCTTCTCTCAAAACTCAGGGTTAGATGGACAGCTAGAGAGAAGATAAACAACCAAGATCGCTGGCAGTGCAGGAAACGATCCGAGAATGTGTTAGTCAACAGGTATGCAGAAGAATAGGATTGAAAAAACAAACATCAAAGCACAGAAAAATGATAGATTAATCGTGAATTATTTATTCTTTATTTAAAATGTACATTTTTCCGTTTAGAGTTCTATCGCGATTACTGAAACAGTTTATTAAGACGAACTCAACTAATATGGTGGAAAGTAAACTAAACTCAAGACATTTATTGGGACACATCTGAACTCGCTGCAGATACAGGCATTTAAACGACTATCCCTGCCTTTGCTTAATCATTTTATACTATTCATTTGCATGCATATTTTTGAAATTGTGGGTGATGTAATGTTGACATTTGTAAATGACAAGTTTCCTTCATCTCAGTAAAAAGTTTGAGCATTGTGGATTAGATTAAATAAAGTATAATTATATTTCAATAGTTTATACACAATGATAAGTTGTGTTATTGGTAATATTTCGAGCAAAATTATTGCCCGTGTTCACACCACTGTTGGAATTGTTTTGTTCACACATTTATGATTTGTACTCATATATATATAGTTCATTATTTTGCTCATTCATGTTTTTGTATTCAGAATTATATTCCAGATTGTTGACAGGTTGTTGTACTGAGTCACCCTTGTTACATGTATCCGGTGTGACTTTAATGAATATAGATTCTGTGATAAGTCTCTCTTTCCATTTGTTCATATCAGTTTTGAGAATACACATGTTGTCCCAATCAATATTGTGGTTTTTGTCCCATGCATGTGCAGCTATAGATGAATTTTATTAAATAATACTTAGATAAAGCTATTAGCATTAAATAGCGAAACGTCAGTAAAAACAATATCGTTTTGTTTTTCATTCATTGGGAAATACAAAAACCTTTATTATATAGATGAATTTTTTTCAAGATTCTGGTAAGCTTGTGTTCCTGTTGGTTGACCTTTAGTTAGGCAAGCGTTTATGTTCATTCACTCTTATTTTGAGTGATCTGGACGTTTGCCCCACATATTTAGTCGGACAGTCAGCACAAGATATTTTGTAAATCAAGTTGTTTTTATCCATCATTTTTATGGGATCTTTCAGTTGATTTATTTTATTTTTGATTAGATTCGTTGGTTTAAACGTTGTGCGAATACCAATATTTTTGAGGTTTCTTCGAATTGTCTCTGATGTACCATTTTTATATGGTATTGTGACTGTTTTTTTGCATTCTTCCATCTTGTCATTCTCCGGTTTTACCCTCTTTTTTCATCTTTTTTATATTATCTTTTATAAATTCTTTTGGGTAGTTGTTGTCGAGTAGCAGTTTGAATAGGACATTTATTTCTTTACACTGGTCCTCTGGCGTTGTTGTAAGTCTACGTATTTTATCTGCAAGACCTTGTATTAATCCTCGTTTCACCGTGAGTGGATGAGCTGAGTGATAATCAAGGAATCTTCCAGGTGACTCAGTACACCTGTCAACAACTTGGAATATAATTCTGAATACAAAAACATGAATGAGCAAAAATAATGAACTATATATATGAGTACAAATCATAAATGTGTGAACAAAACAATTCCAACAGTGGTGTGAACACGGGCAGTAATTTTGCTCGAAATATTACCAATAACAAAACTTATCATTGTGTGTAAACTATTGAAATATAATTATACTTTATTTCCTTCATCTCCTTTTGGCTTAGGCAATAAAATCGGTGTCAGCATTTTACTGGAAATGTCAATGATTCAATACAGATATCTTTCAGATATATGACCTCTTAGGACTTTATTGTCGTTTCGCTACTTCACACATCAGATTCATAATTGACTATGCATAGAGTTTGCCTTTTAAACAATTGTGACAACACAGTTCTTATAATTCCGTTCTCATTTTGAATAGATAGATAGACCAGCTGATATTTAGGTATATAGACACACCTGTTTTCCTTCTACTATTGCCTCTCTTTGCCTTACCTATTCGTTACTTTAGATGTCGTTGTTATCTATGGTACAGTAGAAATGTGGCCCACTACCTTAAGAACTTGACTGTCAGAATATGGGCCCCGGGTTTCAATCTCACTCCACCTACTTCAGCCTGGAAAACTGGCGAGTGCCATTACCCCTGACACAATAAGTGCGGGTCATAGCCTGGGACATTAAAAATTTGCTCCGTGGAAATGAGTAGCTGCAACGGTACAAGAAAATTACACTGAGTACAATAATAACCATAATAATCTTGTCATATGAACAACGTATTAGCTGTATATTAGCTGGAGTTTACTTGATCTAATCACATTTGTTTTGTTTTTTTTAATAATGGCTTTTTCCTACAAGGTCATTCAACGGTGATAACTTTCGGGAATTTGTAAACCCTTTATGGATTGCTTTGAAACTACGGAAATTTGAAATAGCTGAGTATTTAGTAAGCACTAAAGTTTTTTGTTTTTGTTTTGTGACTGTAAAGTGTGTTTGTTTACGCCTTTGTTTTTTTCATTCCTTTACGTCCCCATTGTGCAACATTGAACTCCAAGCTTTTAGGCTTTGAAGTTTCAATGGCTTTGGTGTTGTTTTTACTGGGTGTGGTTGGTAGCCCCACGCTAGCCTAACCTTCCTTCCCTCTTTACTGGACTTACTATCGGCTAATCGAGGTTTAGGAGAGTTTGTTGGCTGGGAATCGAGCTGGGACCACTTGTATGGTTGATGAGTATATTCTATCATTGCACCATTGACATACTTACTGGTTTGCATTTGCTAGTTTTATTTTCATAATTCAAAACTGTAAGCCAGAAGTTGGGAGTGCTTCTGGTGACGCACGAGACAAGTCTCTGAAGTATATAAGAAACACTGACTTGACATTAGGGTTGAAGATCCTGATCTGGGTCCTTATTGTGAGAGAATTAACTATGTTAGATTGTAAGATAAAACGAATAGAAGAAGGCAAACTACACACTAGCGTTTATAAAAAAACAACGCATTCTAATAGATATTTAGACTTTAATTCGTCTCATCCGTTAACTGTTAAGGCAGGCTTAGTGAAGTGTCTGACAAATCGAGCCATAGCACTAAGTAGCACAAAAAAGACCTAAATGACGAAATAAAACAGATAGAAGAAGCGTTGGTGTTGAATAACTATCCTATAAAATTCATTAGGAAGATAACTGAAGGCTAAAAACAAAATAAAAATAATTGTGTAGCTAGTAATGATAACATATAAAGAGGGGACATCTGAGGCCCTACGTAGGATTCTAAATAAAGCAGAAATTAGGGCGGCATTGAAACCTACAAACTCACTCAGAGACAAGCTTTGTAGGTTGAAAGACCCGGTGGACCCAATTAAACAAAATAATATGATTTACAAAATACCTTGTAATGACTGTGAAGTCAGCTACATAGGTCAAACTAGTAGGTCAGGGGTAGTCAGATTGTCAGAACATAAGAATTTAGCTAAGGTAAGAATGGTTGACCCAGAGAAGATAAGTAATTTAGAAAAAAGCTCGGCAATTGCAATGCATGCATTAACACACAACCACACAATAGGGTGGGAGAGGGTTAAAATTCTAAAAAAGTAATCTAGGTAGGTGGAGAGAGAGGCTGATTACTGAATCCTGCCTGGTTCATCGAGTCTACGCCCAACACATGCAACATAATTGACTCAATGCAAATACCAGAAATATGGAAGATATTATTACCACCAGACAGTCAAATCAGAGGAGGATAATAAATAATCTTAAAATTCTATTTCAATTCAAGCACATCATTACATTCTAATAAGTAACTTATTTTTACGATAGAATCACTCGTCTTATTCCCCATCTGATTGTAATTGATCAATAATACTCATATTATTATTTCTGAATGTATATTATCCTATATTAATTTTTATTCAAATGTCTAATCAGTTCCACTCATGTATATAAATGAAGGAAAAAAGTTGTGTGAGTGACTTGATATGATTATGAGCAATAGTTTGTGCTCGAAACGTGGTCATCAGTTAATATTACTGTGTAACACCACTGTGTGATTTATCAAAATAAAATCTTATTCATAATGGAGTTATACTCTACCACGACAGCGCCCAAGTTTTATACTTATATCCTTATTGTGAGTATATTAGATTTCCACATTGATATCAAAGTAATGAGCGTCTAGATGGTCTATCTCTTGTTCATTTCTTTTCTTTCTATTCCATTTCCATTTCTTTCCTCAGTAAACTAGACATTGTAAACATGTTTGTTTTGGGGGGTGTAAGTTAATTTTGTATGTCTCGTTGATATTGACTATGTTTGGCCAAAATATTCAGAGTTCCTGTTAACATGTCGGCTCCTAGAACGAACACTTCGACTATGTCTGAGAATTAACATTATGACGTGATTTGATTGATGGTGACTAGCAGTGGAATCCACGACTCGCACATTTCGTCCTACTTGGGACTCGTCAACAATCCCCAGTGAGTGATGACATTCTCTCTCTGAGACTCGAGCCGATCATGCTTCGTTTCAAACACCAAAGCGTTATTTATCCATTAGGCCACTTAAGCCACATGTTTATTTATCCAAGGTACATTTAAAAAAAGTAACAGTGCCAAAACTTATCACCACTAAATTGACAAAAGTTTACATTAATTATTCAATGTACGTATATACACAGAGTTTGTGTGTATGACTAACTCTATAGTAATTTTTTTACTGAATATATACCACACAATTCAACAGGACTATTAGTATTTAGTGGATACCGAACTGTTGAACACAATTTATTACTGTCCATGGTTATATCATTTGTTGTGATTATACAACTTCGAAACTCGCTTCCGCAGTTCTCGTTCTTCTTTCTCATTCCTCATAAGAGAAGTAGAGTTGTCCAGAAGTTCAGGATACGTGTTGAGTCATTCCTGTTGCCAAAGTGACAGCGTTAAAATCAGATGTAGCACAATGGAAGGAGGATAGCAGAATTTCTCAAGTGTCCGTTAGATCCGTGTTGCATGTATTGTCAATTCACTCAACAAATATGGTTTCATTTATCAGTCTGTCTTTCTTTACCCTGCTATATTAGATATAAATACTGTGACTTTGTCCCATCCAATTGTATGGTCGTGTATAACTGCGTTCAGTTTTATAGCTGAGCTTTATCTCTAGATTTCATAACTTAGCAGGATGTACTAATCTGAGTTTATTCAAGATTTTGTACTCTGCTAGTCAAACTGACCCTACCCTGTTACTTTGATCGATCCAGGATACTAGATAAACTAAATTATTTTATTTGATAAGTTCCACTGGATTCTTTTACAGATGTAATTTGTTTTCTTGGTGATTTTGTGGGTGATTGGATGCCACTTGTTTAGAAGTCCACGTAGGGTTTCAGAGATTCCCTCTCTGCTTAGTGTTTGTGTGTGTGAGTGTACAAAACTACCTAAGAAAATAGTTTTAGAAATGCTTGTATCAGATGGAGTGAGTGACAAGTAATCAGTGTATCCCTTATACAAGAATAAATAAAAGTAGATTAGAAGACAAATGGAAACTAGATGTTTCCATCTAAACATTTATAACTATGTAAGTAACTAGTGAGAAAGTGGTCAAGGTCAAGTCTTACGATTGATTCATTTAGCGTGTTTAGTGTTGTTCTGTTCTATAGGGCTGGATAATTCAATTGTGACGTTTTCGTTGTCTTCCGAGACAGCATCTTCAGTGTGTTATATATAACTGAACTGAATAAATCCGTCGTCATTTTGATATAAGTATAAAACTTGGGCACTGTGGTGGTAGAGTATAACTCCATTATGGATAAGATTTATTTTGATAAACTGTCACACAGTGTTGTTATACAGTAATATTAACTGATGACCACGTTTCGAGCACAAACTATTGCCACTCATAATCATATCAAGTTACTCACACAACTTATTTCCTTCATTTATATACATGTGTGGAATCGATTAGATATTTGAATAAAATTCAATATGGGATAATGTACATTCAGAAATAACAATATTAGTGCTAATGATCAAATACAATTAAATGAGAAATAAGACGAGTGTTTGCATAGTCAAAATAAGTAATTTGTTAGAATGTTATAATGTGCGTGAATTAAAATAAAATTTTAATACATCAAATAGATTTCGAAAATGTAAGAATTTTACACAAGGAAACACAAATAATGACAGAGAATTTCTAAAAGTTTGGTACTTAAATCAATATGAAACTAACAGATATATGAATGTAGGTTAAATTTATCAGTCAATAAAGAATAAGTCACATGCTGAAGAGGTCAAATGTCAAATTAGCTCAAAAAGCAGTGCCGATGTGGGTCAATGCGATGATGAGCAAATCTCTTTCATTCAATGAAAGGTTCCAAAAGCTGATTTGGCGAAGTTCAACAATAGCGTCTCAGGAGTGCGAACTCTCCAATAACCTTGAACGCGTACTAGTCGTTAGTTAACGGCACCTGTTGTTATCATAGCTGAAATATCAACGCTATTCACCAGCTAAGCAGCAAGTTTCACCCAGATCACGTTTTTAGTACTGTTTAGACAATGTGTTAACAGCTCGTTAGGGTTAGGATTAGGATTAGGGTTAAGGTAAGTATTGGGGTTAGGGTTAGGATCAGGGTTATAATTAGCATTAAGGTTAGAATTACGGTTTGGATAAGGGTTATGATTAGGGTTAGGATTAAGGTTAGGGTTGCGATTAGCGATAGATTTATAGTTGATGTCATTTATTTTAACTTGTTTCATTATCCACATTTTCCTGGTGAGTAGTCGTCGATCCTCTTACTGGAGTTGATAGCAATTCAACCAAGGGCTTTGGGGAGGGCTACTGAACAATAGGATAAGAGATGAACGATTCGCATAAACAGCTCATCTTCAGTCATCTCGGTGAATACACGTACAGAAACTAGTCTAACTTATCAACTAATACTCCTCATTATAACTGGGACGTATTTTTAAGTCATGTTAGAGAAAGATGACCCATTTAATGTATTTTCATGCGTTTTCTTGTAAATATACGTTATTCTTTCTGCAAAGATTCTTCATTTTTATGATTGGTCGGTTGAAGGTCACCCGTGCGTTTGTATCCCTTGGGACGTTATTGCTGAACTTTGCTGCTGATTTCATTTGGAAGTTAGAGTTGGAGATGTTGTCTAGAAAGACAATAAAAACTGCTTCTCAATTAAACCAGCTAACTCAGAGAACACAACAGTAAAAGTGTAAAACTGAGCTACAAATCTTCTCCACTATGTTTATGTTAGATGTTCTTTAATCCTAAAAGATTATAGTTCCCCTTGGTTGTTTTGACCTGGATCATTCAACAGACTGTGGGGGGGGGGGGGCAAAAAGATGAGCATGCGTTGAACTGACGAAAAGATACAGGAAGGGAGCTGAACTTCGCGGGTGATTTATGTCTTACGTTACACAGACCCAATGTT